GATGGACCACTATTGAATTTATATTTAAAAATAATTATTTTAAAATTAATACAGATTTTTTCGCCAAAAAAATGGAATATCAATGGGATCAGTAGTTGGACCTAAATTAGCGGAGATTTGTATGGAATCAATTGATGGTGCTATATCACAAGTCTCAGGTATAGACATTTATGCTCGTTATGTGGACGATATATTAATTATTTTTGATTCCTGTGTAGTAACACCTCAAGAAATTGAAGATTATGCGAATAACTTAAAACCTAATATAAAGTTTACTAGTGAATTGGAACAGAATCAGGAAATAAACTATTTGGATGTGACTATTAAACGTGAGAAAATGCCACTGGTGTTTCGTAAGTATGAAAAATTATGTAATACAGAAAAAACAATTAGTTATAAATCTTATTGCCCTATAGACACTAAAAGAAACGTTTTTACTATGGAATTGAGAAAAGTACTAAACAGAACATCACTTCAGGAAGATATAAATAAAGAAATTAAACAATTATTTAGAAAATATATATTGAATGACTATCCAAAGAGTAAAATTTGTAAGTGGTATAATTCTTTCATAAATTACAGATATAATGTAAAAAATTGTTTAAATAATAATACTTATGTTAAAATGCCTTATACTCGTGTACATAATCTTTATGAATGATATAAACCCATATTTAAAAAGTTTTCTATATGTGTAGTGGCAAAGCAGGAAAACAAAATGTCGAATATCATTAATATTATAAATACTAAAGGTCAAAATAAAGTAAGAAATCAGCTTGACGTCGCAGGAGTGGTTTAAAAAGTATCATGTGATTGTTTGCAAGCGAAATCATATGTTGGAGAAACGGGACGGAGGCTCGAGATAAGCCTAAAAGAACACGAGGCAGCGATTCGTCTAAAAAGACAAAAGTCACCTTGGTATCATCATTGTATCAATTATAATTGTAAAATTAATAGAAATTCTGTAAAAATATTATATAAAATAGAAAACTGGTTTAAAAGACGAGTAGTAGAGCACTTTTGTATTGTTGAACATGCAAATTTGTTAAATCAGAATGTCGGTCTAAACGTTGATGCATGCTGGGAAAAATTTATTTGTATAAAAAGTAATGAGTTGCTTGTTGTTAGATAATCCACCGATGAGGCTGTAACGGCGAAATGCATTTGGAGAACCTTTTGGAAAATTCTTTGAGAAATTTGAAAATAATAAAAGAAATAACGTTGGCTGAAGTATAGTATCTTTGTTAATTATTTGTCTGCCGATATAAATCACTCGAAATCGGTTTAAGAAAGAGTGTTTTATATTTACTCGTTTATTTTATCTAAAGATAATCTTTTATTTTTAGAAATTTCACCGATCCCATTGTTTTATATTTTTATTGATCAACAAATATATTATTTGAATAAAAATGCACTTTAAAATGGTGTTTTTTTCGTCGTTTTTTATTAATTAGAGACCCAAATAAAACAAATATTTGTGTTTTTCAAATAAATTTTTGTTTGTCTCCTTTATAATAAATGAATTTATCTATTTCTAAGTAAAAATTGAAAGTGTCTGTAGAAGTAATTTTTTAAAATAACCTTTTTCGTAATAAAGTTTTAATACTTATTACTATGTTAATCCTTAAATATACTTGTATATTGAAGGATTGGGCCAAAATATACTTAGGCCACAAGTATATATAATATACTAGTGGCCCAAAACTCCATGACTACTTCTAATGTGGCCCAGAGAAACAAAAATCTACACCCCTGGTATAGATAATATTAGCTGTGGAATTTAAATTCTAGACAACTGAAATTTTACGGATAAGAGGCCTATAAATCTTTATATTTTTCTACCAATGATTTAGATGCTGTTTCCTATTTTATTATATTGCGTTACTACTTGTTTTATATATTCAAAATGGGAATAGTGACCGAGTGAATAAAGCACTATGTTGATAGCGGGTTCACACCTAACCAACCAACTGTTCGCGTGAAGTCTCCGAATTTTCTTCTCGGGTGTAACACCTATATATAGGTTAATTTCCAATAGAAAATCTGTCCGGAATATATTGTTTTGTCTTATTTCACAAATCAAATTTGAGATAGTAATGGTGCCATATATAATTTGATAGTTCATTTCATATTCTCTAAAATTCTATTGTTAATAAGTAAATATCTGAAAAATGTTCGTATGGTTTTAACTTGATAGGAAGGGAATATTTATTTTCCTGGTCTAAAATGAATATTTATATACTAATGTTTACATTAAACCTATGGCTCATTCTCCAAAAGTGGTGCAGTGCATGATTAGAAATGGCGCACTGAATCTCAGAGAAAATTTTTTATTAACAATGTTTTACGTTTATGATAAGATTTCTGTGTTTATGAAGGCTTAATATAGTTCTGTAAATTTAAAATAAATTTTTTTCATTTTCGACGGGTATTTCAAATTCTTGTCCGTTCACCTAATTTGTACTGTTCTTATTTATTGAGAATCCTTTAGGAAAATCGCTTGCATTGTTTGTGAAGGCATTCTCTCAGATAACAGAAGACACAATCTTAACAGACATTGTAGAAAACATCAAACTGAATTAAAAGAAAAACTGAAATTAATTTCAAAAAATTTCTCCTGAAAGATGTTAGATAGATGACTGGCACAACTCTAAAAGTATGATGTGCAGGGGCAAGCCACTACTAATAATTTGAGATGGAGGGCATATATTTTTAATTAAAAACACTAAAAATATGATTTAATAAAAA